GGAGCGGGGGACTCCAGGGATTTTGATTTAATTGTTCTGGGCAGGGCCAGGCATTGGTGGCTTTTAAAACCGTCAGATGATGCTGATATATAACCACGGCTGAGAACACATGGTTTGATACGTGGGTAACAAATGTACCAATTAGCCTCGTGTTGACCCTCCTTCTTTTTAAAACTTCCCACGTGGGGGTTGCTGTGTGAGGACATGCAGAGCAGGAGAGAAGTGACAGGCAGAACACAAGGAAGGGTCAGCAACAAAACCCTCCCTGCTCGTTCGGACTTTAAAAACTCCTTGTAGGTGAATCGGTCGCTTGATACAAATTCTAATGACACATCATGTCTGGAATATGACTCCAGACACCCTAAACTGGAATGGTAAGTTTATTAATTTATTCGTGGATCTGTTCATTTAATGAGCTCTTACAAGAATGCATGGGGCAAAAAGAAAAGAAAACCGGGTCTGTACGCGCCTGCATACTCTCGTGGGAACTGACATTGCAGCTGCACAGTATGGATATATGTGGGCCATAGACTCTCACTTTTCTCTCTCCTTCCTGGGAGCTGGCTTCGTTCTCTGATTCAGGGAAATGCAGTTCAGGGCTGGGAGAACGGGACCCCCTTTGCATTATAAGGTGCAAGAGAGAAGCTACTAGATGGTCACATAGGACAGCTGATTTTTCGGATACTTTGTCTATTGGCTAGACCAGGGCATGAACCACTCTCCTTGTTTTTGATTCTTCTCAGAGCTGCCCCTCCTCACCCTCAATCTCTTGTGCCTCCCATCCAGTGGTGAAAATTGAATTTATAGAAACCAACAATTTTTCCTGCCCTGCTTGTAAGGAAGGGGCAGGGTGAGGGCCATGCAAAGGTTAAAGGCACCGAGGGCCTGTCGGGAATCAGACGAGGGAGTTTGGGGTGGGGATGAGTCGGGATGGCCACCGAAATACAAGCTGAAAGCCCCAGGGGGCCTCTCCCTTAAATCCACCACACACTGAATGAACTAGATTTTTCTCACCTGAATCTCAGGCAAAGGACCAATTGATCGCTTTTTGGGATTTTTGTGTATCTGTTGGCTTGTTTGTTTTTATTTATGGACCATATGACCTTTCTCCCACACAGCAGTGGTTAGTGTTAGGGCCACAAAGGCCATGGAATGCCAGAGAAACATCAGGTTCCTGTCAACTACCCAGAACAGCTTCAGGAAGCTGAACTGCTGAGTCATAGACTTTCATAGACTGTAGACTTTTTAACTGGAAAAATCTCTGCAGAGATTTCACTTCCTAACTTTCCAATGAGGTTACTGAGCCTCGAGAAATAGTGATGGAGTGGGACTGGCGATGGGGCAGAGGGATCCTTACAAACTAGGCCATGGAGGGAGTCATAAAAGCCACGGTTGTGTAGAGTGAGGATCAGTTGTCTGGTTATTCAGAGGATTTTTTTTACTTTGGGCAAAATGAGTTATTTTAACAAAAGAAAGTGAAAAATGAATATGAACGAGATGTAATTTAGATATGGCTCATGCTAGGGAAAAATGTGTGAGATCAGGGAAGTTCTCTGAAGGATAAAGACAGAAGTGAAGTACTGCAATTTACTTGACAGTGAGGCCTTTCCAGTATAAACTTAGGAAACAAAAAGATAATGTTCTTTTTCTATTTTCCCTCCTCTTGCCCAGTTTCCCTCTCTCCCTTCCTCCTCATCCCTTTCTTCAGTCTCATCAGAGTGGGCATCCAAGCTAAGAGACATGGGTCTCTGCTCAGTCACTGTTCCTAGTGATCGGGACTAAATGCCACCCAGGGACCTCACTGCCCTCTGTGGGTGGCTGTGCCAGGCCGAGGCTGGGAGGGCGAGGCACGGGGACCTCTCCTCTATGTTGCAGTGTCCCTCCTCCCCCACGGTCAAACATATCGATCAAGTGATGCCTCTGTTAGAGACAAACAAACATGCATAATGAAAAAGAGCAATTTGAATTTTAAATTTCATGCGGCTTGGAAGTGTGAATATTGCCAATGGAATATGTTATTTCTGCTCACAGAGAAGCTTCAGAAATAAGCTTTGTTATCACAGTAAAGTCACTATAATTTTATTTTGGAACTTCTGCCTCCTATTTTCCTATAATTCCTAAGAGAATAAGTAAAATTAAAAATTGTTCAGCATTGTCTTGCTAATGCACCATTAAATCTTCTTGGTGCTCTTATTTTCATTATTGTTGGCATAATAATGAGGGAATAAATCAAAAAGAACCCAAACTCTAAAGTTGGTCCTCAAAGACTTTCCAAGACCTGAGTGTGTATTGGGACAGTGTAATCCCTAGGAAAAACCATGCTATGGATATTTTGGTTAGTCAGTTTTCATGATTGAAAGTACCTAGAGAATAAACTTCTATTTCACGGGAAATATTGGAGTGCTTCCTTCCGATCAGAAGTATAAGGACTCTTGATGAGATATAGTAAAGCTTTAAAAGCTGGAAAAAAGTCAGAATGTATAAAGTTTTTTTAGTTCAACCTCTTAGAAATGTTCTATCCTTTCTTACGGATGGCCAATCAGCTGTAGAAATAACTCCTAAAACAAGGAAGACATTTTCTTTGAGTGGGTTAGACATTTAAGGAAAAAGATTTTGTGTATTTAGTGGAATTACCTCTTTGGTCCAACCATTAAGACTTTTCTGTCTCCAAAATGTGCGTCAAATCAGACCATGTATGCCTGTCTCGATGCTGTGACCTCCCTCAGCTCTCATCTGCATCAGGTCTCCCTGCTGAGACTCAGGTCCCTGTCCCATCTGCTCTCACACAATAATAGCCAGTGTCATCACCTTACAGTGTGACATCACCTCCCTCTCACACTGATGCCCTGCTTAAAGTCCTGCATTGAGAGAAGCTTGCGTTTTACTCTAATCTGACCCCGAAGTGCACCACTGTCCCCAACCCTCTGTGCCTTTCTCTCCAGCACTCATTTCATTAGACCTTAGCACAGTTCAGAAATATTTCGTTTGCTTATGTTTTCTTGGATAATCTTGCCTACAGGATTGTATGACCCATAAATTCAGGGAGTTTTCTCTTTCTGCCTGTTCATCTTTGTTTCCTAGTGGTAAGCTCAATGAATGGTATATGGTAGGCATTTTCCCCAGCACTTTTTAAATTAAAAAAATTCAAACATACAGTAGAGAGAATTTTACAATGAATACCCGAATATCTACCCCCTAATTTCTACTGCGCTGTCTTCATCACTTAGTTATCCATCTCTCAATTTCTCTCTCTATTAATACACAGTTGACTTTTAATACATTTGTTGAATAAATGAACGAATGAATGACTGTTACTGCTTTGGTCAATAGCTGGAATCTGTCCATTCTGAGACTGACCATTCTGTTACGTTCCCAAGGATGTGTATCTGCTAAGCTCTGTACCAGGGACTGGTGTGGACACTGGGAATTCAGAGAAATGGTTGAACTTCCTGCCTTCCAGGAGCACATGCTCTACCAGTGAGAGGAAGACAAAAGTTAGTGATGAAAAAAGAAAGAAGCAGAAAATGTGGACTTACGATTTTTTTGCACACATGACTTAATAAAGACTGTCAAGTGTTATCTTGATGTTAAAACTGCCTTAGTTTTTGGCAGTGTGTGTGTGTGTGTGTGTGTGTGTGTGTGTGTATTTGGTTGCACAAGTACATAAAAGCAATTGTTGACTTAGTGAGTGACAAAGGTTATTGCAAGCCTATTGAAACCATGAATCTTTGGCTCCCTCCCTCCCTCCCTCCCTCCCTCCCTCCCCCCTCCCTCCCTCCCTCCCTCCCTCCCTCCCTCCCTCCCTCCCTCCCTCCCTCCCTCCCTCCCTTCCTTTTCAGTTTTGTATAATGCTTGAAGCATACAGATAACAGAAGCAAAGGAAAAGCATACAAAAACTGTTTCCAATCCAGGCTAACTATGGTCAAGGTAAAGAGCATTTCTGCCTAGTCTAGAAAATCAACAGAGCAGGCGGGGCAGGTAGAGCTGTCTTCTCTTCTGCAGATTGTCCTGCCCCCAGAAAACTGTATTTGATTATATATATTTTTATACCCTGTATTTATTATTTTGATTGCTCAGAGGAAATGCTTACCTTTAAGGTGACATTCTGGGGCAGTGATTTGTAATGTCATTTATTAGGCTTGCTGTGTCTATTCACATTTATTTTAATTCTTATTTATAGAAGGAGGATTTTAAGAAGGTCAGTGCATTATCTTTGTGGTTGAATTCCAAGAATACTTAGCAGGGGTCCAGGTAATAATAAGGGTGTTGAATCACTGTGAACTGGGAATGCATCCAAGTTCATGCTTTCACTGAGAATCCTCTGTTAAATATTTAAAAGCAAAAACAATCTTTCAAAATAGGCATGTGGGCCCAGACAGCATAGAAGCGGTGAGCACAGTACATGGGTAAGCAGCAAAGGCTGTTTCTCTGACCTCAGCTGTCTCCTAATACTTACTTTTCTTTACCCCTTTTATTTGATGGAATTCTACTTTCTTTTTTAAAAAATATTTTATTTATTTATTTTTAGAGGGAGGAAAAGGCAAGGAGAAAGAGAGAGGGAGAAACATCAATGTATGGTTGCCTCTTGAGCACCCCTTACTGGGGACCTGGCCTGCAACCCTGGGATATGCCCTGACTGGGAATCGAACCAGCGACCCTTTGGTTTGCAGCCTGGTGCTCAGTCCACTGAGCTACACCAGCCAGGGTGAATCCTACTTTCTAACATGTTGGTGACTTCCATTCCACCAACTTTCATTTGTTCACATTCTTGTATGGCAGACATTTCAGGGCCCAGGGGGTCCTGACCTGGATTTGCTTCCTTGCTTTGCCACTAGGATCTAAAGACCTTGAGCAAGAAATGTACCTTTCCAAGGTCCAGGTTCCTTACCTGAAACTGGGAGACCTTAATACCTACTTCAACATGTGAAACGTGTTTACCACAGAGAAGACCTTTGGTGAGCGTTGGGTTTACTCTACCATTTTAAGATTAGTTCCCACAGTGGATTAGTAAGAAATGATGATTTAGGGGAGAAATATGAGTAAGCACTTAGACACTATCTAGTGTAGTATGAGGAATAAAGCAAATCTGGAGGTGGATATTTTATTTATAAAATTAAACCTAATTTATTTGGCAAAAATAATAAATACATGTTCAGATCTGTTTCATCTACAAACCAGGTATTTTTTGTTTGTTTGTTTTTGGCAAACATGCAAGTTAATTTGTCATGCCAAACATCTTTCTTTCCAGCTCTTTTTGGAAATTGTTTTTCCATAACACAGAGGTGCAAATACTGTCCAAAAACTATTTACATATTTACCCTCCAGTATTATTAACATTAATGTTTATTGAGAAGAAAGAAAAACTACAATGCTTGATCTTTGGCATTCACATATGACTCAGTAGCATAATTAAAAACTTATAATATTTTTAAGATAAACGCTTTGAAGGAAATTTAATAAATCTCATTTTTGCTCTACAAAGGAGCCACTACATCAACGCATTTAACTGGAGTGGTTGAGTTCCTGCTGTTAGAATCTTATTTCCAGCCTATTTATTAGCTTTTCTTCCTGTAGCCCAATACATGCTACCCCTTCGCTGAGTGAAAGTACAGAAAAAAAGCAATTTCTTTTTTCTTTCCACTCCCAGCATCATGCAAGGTAAGACAACATCATGAGTTACATCTGAATGTACTTTGATTGTATTTTGTTTCCTATACTTAAAATTATTTTGTAGTATTATACTTACTAGGTTATCTAAAATCAACATTGTTGATTTTAAATTGTTATAAAGCCAGACATTTACAGGCATTTGGAACAATTCATGAACCATGTCTGAAAGAAGGTAATTACCTCCAGCCTATTCTTTTGCACTTGAAGTAAAAGAATTTTAGGTATCAGCAGTTCAGTAAAAAACAATACTTTAGGGGGTCCATATAATTTATTCACATCTTTATATTGTAAACAAAGATATGATATTTTTGACAGTAGCCTATGAACAATTTTTAAAAAATATATCCTTTAGTATAGAATAGGTATCAAGGGAGCATTTTAAACATGATTCTGGTAGGTCTCTTATAAGCCTACTTTCCAGAAAAGTTTTATATGAAATATGCTGACTCAAAAAAAATTTATTTAAGTTGAGAAAATATGGTATGTAAGGTAAGGCCATTGTATTATCTATGGTCTGATGCACAATGTAATGTGTACAAAAGAACTGAAAAAACCAGCTATCTCAAATTTCAGGCAGGATATAAGGGTGCATAGAGAATCGAGAGCTTTTTAGGTCAGAGAGTGAAAAAAGACAGAGTACTCAGCTAAAACAAAAATTGTAAGCTACATAAACATATCAGTGCCAATTCATAGGGTGTAGACAAGATCAATTAGAAAGTGAAGTGTGATAACCACACATTTTGGAGAAAAATTCCCAAGCCAGGCGGATGTGGATTGGAATAAAAACATAGGCAGTATACACCACCATAGCAAAAATGGTTAGTAAGATGGTATTGAACATGGATTGCTCCCAAGGCTCCAGGACAGCGCAGCAGCTAATGATTTGGTATTGATAGTAGAGCCAGGAGAAATAGTCCTTCACACGCCTGAAATCCATTGTCAACAACTTCAAGCTGCAGAAGGTCCGTCCTGTTAAAGAAGGCAACAGATTAGGAGAAAACTAAAATAAGGAACCAAAAACAGAGTCTCCTTGGATTATCATGATTTCAGCATATTAAAACCTTTCAAAGAAGGTTAACAATCATTGAATGGGTTAATATCAATATGATATCAAAATATGCACAATGTATAATAGGGATTAATAATGTTGCTACTAATAATTAATACTAGATAGCAACATTATTAATAGTTACATTAATCTAAAATGATAATTCCTAGTGATAATTCTAGTAATAATAATATCTAAAACTTGAGCCTAGCCACATTTTCTGTAGCCATGTATATAGAGAAAGATGAACATGAATTTTCTATTTCTTACAACATATAATCTGAAAGAAGATTTAAAGAACTTATACCCAAAAATAAATTTAAGGTGGATAAAAGACTTAAACGTAAGTCGTGACAGCATAAAAGGCCTAGAGGAGAACATAGGCAGGAAAATCTCAGACATTCCACACAGCAATATTTCTAATGATATGTCCCCTAGCGCAAGGGACATAAAGGAAAGAATAAACAAATGGGATCTCATCAAAATAAAAAGCTTCTGTGAGGCGAAAGAAAACAGCATTAAAATGAAAAGAGAACCAATTATATGGGAAAACATATTTGCCAATGATACCTCAGACAAGGGTTTGATTTCCAAAATATATAAAGAACACACACAACTCCACTCCAGGAAGACAAACAACCCAATTAAAAAATGGGCAAAAGACCTGAATAGACACTTCTCCGAGAAGGACATACAGAGGACCCAGAGACATATGAAAAGATGCTCAGCATCACTAGCCATCAGAGAGATGCAAATTAAAACCACAATGAGATACCACCTCACACTGGTCAGAATGGCCATCATAAACAAATCAACAAACAAGTGTTACAGAGGATGCAGAGAAAAGGGAACCCTAGTGCACTGCTAGTGGGAATGCAGCCTAGTGCAGCCACTGTGGAAAACAGTATGGAATTTCCTCAGAAAACTAAAAATGAAATGGCCTTTTGACCCAGCAATTCCACTGCTGGGATTATATCCTAAGAGCCCTGAAACACCAATCCAAAAGAATCTATGCACCCCAATGTTCATAGCAGCACAATTTACAATAGCCAAGTGCTGAAAGCAACCTAAGTGCCCATCAGTGAACGAATGTATTGAAAAACTATGGTACATTTGCACAATGGAATACTACACAGCAGAAAGAAAGAAGGACCTCCTACCTTTGCAACAGCTTGGGTGGAACTGGAGAGCATTATGCTAAGTGAAATAAACCAGGTGGTGAAAGACAAATACCATGTGATCTCACTTTTAAGTGGAACCTAATCAACAAAACAAAGAAGCAGGGAAAATATAATCAGAGCCATTGAAATTAAGTACAAACTGACAGTAACCAGAGGGGATGTGGGAGGAGATAGTGGGGGTAAAGGGGGGAAGAGTTTTCAGGAACAGCTATAAAGGACACATGGACAAAACCAAAGTGGGAGGGTGTGATCGGGGAGAGAGGTGGGGGGGAAAATGCAGACAACTGTACCTGAACAACAACAACAACAAGATTGAGTACCAAAGAGAATATAACAAGTCTGAGATTGCTATCTTTAGAAGGGTCTACTTGCAAGTTTGGCCCTTGGCTGGCATCTGGAATCTTGAGTTCTGGAATATTCTCTCCATTCTCTAATGGATAAAAATGATTCACTATGCCTAGATTGTGCAAATGCTGTAATTGGTGGTGAACACCTGCTTTGTTCTGGGTGTCTGAAATTTTGCTAATTGTCAGACAGAGGGTGGCTGAGTAACTAGTCCCAATAGAAAGCTTGGTACTGAGTCTCCTTGGGCAGAAACATTGCACATATATCACTTTTTGCTGTTAGAGAAAGGGACGTAGCTGGTGTGTCCACTCGTGAGAGGGAGAGAGAATAGGGAGCCTGTAAATGAATTTGCTCAGACTTCACCTGTGTCTTTCTTCCTTGTTGATCCTGTTGAATATCCTTTCACTGTAATAAACTATAGCTGTGAGTAAAAAATATATAAATATATATTTTACATATATAAAAGGGTTTATATAAATAGGAGTTATATTAATTATAAATTATAAAGATTTATAATATATATAAATCCTGTGAGTCTTTCTAGTGAGTCACTGAGAATGTGGGTGGTCTTGGGGACCTCTGAAAAAATGGGAAGTTCAAAATGTACCTTTGGATAGTGATTTGTTTTTTGGATATAGAAATTTTGAAAGTTATATAAAAATGGTTTTTTTTTTGGCCCTCAGGTAGGAGACTTATAATCATGTGTAAATCTTCCTAGAAAGAAGAGCATCTATCATATCTTAAAATGATCCTTAGGAAGACTTTGCAGACTTTCATAGACATTATAGGTATCTATGGGTAGGTGTCTATGGGGACACAAGGTGACCTTTGTGCCTGCTTTGCTTACCCCTAAAAATAATGGTTGCCACATTATCTAAGTCCATTTTGATAACTTTCACTTTTCAAATCACAGCTAAAATTTTTGGAGATCCTTTCTATCTTCTGATGTGAAACTATTTATTATTTTCTCTGATTCTCCTTTGAGTAAAGCAAGATATTTTTGCTCCATACTGTGGGCTTCTTAGACTTTGAAAAGACTCTCACAATCCTAATGCCTGGCACAAAGATGACCATTGGTAAATACTTGCTGAATAAATGACTAAAGCAATGAATGCCAAGTAACCAACTCAAAAAAGTGATTATTGATCACTCATAGTCTCAACTTAAGTAAAATAATGGTTCACTGTTGATGACTTTCAATAGCTTGGATTTTGATAAGGCCACTTTCTGATAAGGATAATTTTCACAAAACCTTAAAATGGAAAGTCTGTGTTAACAGGTCATAATTATCTGTGATAATGGCCAAGATAATTCAAATAAGCAGATAATACAACTGAAGTTGTTTTATTTTCTTATGAAAAGAAAAGTCAGCCTCCCATCTTTCCTTAAAGCTGAGTGGGAACAAAGTAATTGGACCGAAACGCCTTGTCCTGGTAGGTGGGACTCGGTGTTTGTTTATTCCTGGCTCTGGTTCCACAGAAAAAGCAATGACCAATCGCATTAGGTCTTGAAGGAAATGAAAGACAAGACTGATCTTTTCAGTAAGAGAAATTCTACAAGCAACTGAGATTTTCCACAGAAAATGAGAAGTCCTCACCGTTTGAGCTTTGAGGCTGTCCCACTAGACAACTGTATGTTTCAAAGCTGAACCTAATTAAAAAAATCTCACTCATGGCTACCCACACTTGCTTCCTCTTCATTATCTAGAAAGCGTTTGGGGTGGTGCCAGGTAACCGACCAGGAGCATGAGAGCACCTTCGTCAGGTGTCAGGGTCCGGGCTGTGCTGGGTGAGCGTGGGAGGGTGATGCCTCAGACGGGGAGAGAGCCTCCACTCAGGAAGCTCGGCCCGGTTGGGGAGACAGGTAGCAATCAAATAATCATACAGATATATAATTATCAACCACATTATGCCCTAAAAGAAAAAAGCAATCATAAGAGGCTGTGGGAAACCTGGTCCACTCTGAGCATATCTCTGAGGGAGAGATAGTCGAGAGAAGATCCAAGGGATGATTGGTAATCAAACAGGTAAATAGGTAGTCAGGTGAGGAGAATGGCCAAGAGAGAGGGATCCACTTGCACTTTTACAAAGGTTAGAAGTGGGAAGGAGCTCGGTAGGTGGTCGAGGGGAGCAGGTAATGGAGCACAGGCATCTAGTGAGGGAGGCTGGGAGTACGAGGAAACCGAGGAGGAGGGAATGGCCAGAGGGAGGCCGAGCACTGTAGGGCCCGCTTGCATGGCTAAGTATTTGGCTTTTATCCTGTGAGTGAGGGGCGCTCCAGAGGTTTTTAACAGGGGAATGCGGAGGGGCTAAGGCTTTAAGTTCCTATGGACACATTGCCTCCCTGCATGAGTCTGAAGCCAAGTTGAAATGATTTCGAGTAATAATCGTCTAGAAAAATCTATGCCTCTGCTCTCTTATGGGTATTACTTACTGAAAATCTACTGTGTACTGAAAATCTGTCTAAAATAGTCTTAATACTCTTTTCAACTTTATAAATAAGATCAATTAGTCATTTAGAAATAATGACTTTTTTCTCTATATATTTTAGCTTTGAAACATGCACAAATTAATTGCCTGGCCATTGCTTTCTGTTCTAAAATTAAATTTCTTGCTTGAGCACCTCTGATGGACACCTTGATTGCAGCCTTGTGAGAGAGTGGCCCCGAGACAGGGGCACTCAGCTAAGTTGTGCCCGGAGGCCTGAGCCATAGAAACATTCCTCATGCCAGAGGCAGATACCTTGTAAGACCTTGCACACATGTTGCTAGTGATTTAAAGAATTAAGATAAAAAATTTTTTTTTCCAGTTTCTATAGCCCCCTGTATCATTTTCCAACCTTCTCAGTAGGCGGCTCTGACATGTAAATAGGGCTTTAGATGGTCACATCTCACTTTCCTCTCAAGAAATCTAAGAGTCAGTCAATAAAAAGTGTTGATTTCCCCCTTTCCTTGATTATTTTGCCCCATTTTTTGATGACAAGCAAGTGTAAGGATTGTTTATTCATTGTTTTTTATTATGAAAAGGTGTGAAGAAGTGAGTTTTATTATTGGTAAACCATCTGCTACATGCTATTGTTAGAATATGCATTATATTTAGGTTCTGTTTGCCTAAACTAGCAATTTTCAACCTCTTTCATCTCATGGCACACATAAACTAATTATTAAAATTCTGTAGCACACCAAAAATTATACATTTTTCATGGATCTGACAAAATAGGTATAATTTTGATTCATTCACACTAGATGGCTATTACTCTGTTGGCTGTTGCCATTTTTTATTTGACAATGTAAGGGAAAAGAGGTCAGTGCTGCTGACTAAATAATTAGGTACTGCATGTTTTAAAAATCCTTGCACACACCGGTTGAAAATCACAGGCTTGAGTAATATATTTTT